AAGACAGTGACCAAGCCATTTGTCTCGTGCCATCCCTCTCCAGCCTTCCACAAACTTTGGGCAGGGACACCACTCCTACCCTCTGGCTAATAGGACTCCATGGACCCAACCTCCATCACTTTATCTCACTTCCCTTTAAACTCTGTTCTAGTTGTAGCCTTCACAGCCTCCTGCAGCAAGGAGTTCCACAGGTTAACTATTTGCTTTGTCAAGAACAACAACTTTCTCTTACTAGTTTCAAGCCTGCTACCCATTCCTTTCCTTTGCTGTCCTCTAGTCCTTCTTTATGGGAACTCAGGAAGAACTTTTCTGAATGCACCCTCTCCACCCAACCCCTGCTTTTAGAGACCTCTATCCTGTCCCCCCTCCGTCTCCTCTTTTCTAAGCTGAACAGTCCCAGTCTCTGTAGCCTCTCTTCATCTGGGACCTGTTCCCAACCCCTGATCATGTTAGTTGCCCTCCCCTCTCCCAGCCTTTCTCTTCCCCTCTCCCACCTCCTTTTCCCAGTCTCCCCCAGTTTTTTTCAATAAAGACAGAGTCAATGTTGGAAGAAACGTTGTCTTTATTTTGTACATCAATAAGAAGGGGGGCTAGGGAAGGGTAAGTGGAAGGAGGTGAGGGAGGAATGGGGTACGAGCCCCCGATGGGGAGGACTGGGCTGGCTCTGCGGGCTTCTGGGGGTGGAAGCTCTCCTGCAGCCCCCCAATTACTCCCTCTCCCCAGATGGCAGCCTGCGGCAAGTGCAGCCGGGCTGATGGCCGAGTGGTGTGATGTGCCCAGTGTGGGCACTCAGGGCACTCCAAGCCAGAACTTCTTTGCAAGCGGGGCACCCCTTAGAACTGTGTGTCCGGGGTGGGGGTCGGGACCCTTTAAGCGCAGCCCTCGGCTAGCCTGAGACAGCATCTCCACGTTCTAAGTCCTCCTCTGATGCCCTGCCGGCACTGCTTCCGGCCATCCTTAAGCCCTGTTCAGAGTCCATTCAATGTGGACTTGCTAGTTCGAATTAGCAAAACGCTAATTCGAACTAGTTTTTAGTTCTAGACGCGTTAGTTCGAATTAGCTTAGTTCGAATTAACTAATTCGAACTAAGTTAGTTCGAACTAGCGCTGTAGTGTAGATGTACCCTCAGGGAAATCTCAAGACCCTCTAGCCTGGGGTGCCAAAGCCCTGCGCAGCACTGGCACCAGGAAGCTTTTCTGCCCCTCATCCATCCCATCTTAACTAGGACAGTCCCATGTTGAAGGGCTGTTCCCAGCCTTCCAACTTTTTTTAAAAAACGGGCACATTGTCCCACATTTCCCTGCAGCAGGGGGTGCGTAAGAGTCACTAGTGCTCAGGGCTTCAGCCGCTGAGGCACCAAACACCGGCGGCTCCCCTCCCCTCTCCCCCACAAGGTGGGAGCCCTGAGTGCCATGCTCAGGACTAAAACCCCAAGCATCAGCAATACCCCCATATTTGGCCTGGGGGAATATGATTACCCTATCCCTCAGCTAAGCTAAGTGACCTGATCTCCGGTTAACCTCTGGGCCCAGCTGCCCTTTCCATCCCAGAGGTGCCCAGGCCCAGGCCACATGGTGCCTGTTTGTTTCCTAGTTGCTGCCTGTGGGCCTCTTACCCTCTCATGTTGTCTTGACCAAACTAGCTCCCCCCCAGCCCAGGGCCCCCTCTCACACCCTAACCTTCTGCCCCAGCCTTGAGCCCCCTTCCACATTCTGAACCCCTTCCCTTGTTTTTAGCCCCACCCCAGATACTAGGGGCCCCCACAAAATCTAATAGCTCTAGCCTCTAGAAGAGTTAATTCTGCCCTGCTTGTCCTCCTCCAAGATTCACCTCTCCTGTTCCTTTCTTCCTCTCTCTGCTTCCTCCTGAGTCCTGTCCCCCATGAAACTCCCCCAAACCTGTGATCCCCATTCTAACCCTTGGCCGAGGCCCAGCTGTTCCTCTTTATCTCAGAGACTTGCCTGTTTGTTTGCTGCTGCCTTTGGCCTACCATGCTAAACTCTGCCCTCTTTCTATTCCCCCCACCAACCCCCCTCCCCCCCTGAGCAGCTGCCTCCTTCTGCCCCCCATAGGGCCCTCCCCATCCCAATCCTATTACCTGACAGCAGGAGTGGAGGTGGGGGAACTATCACACAGCTCTCCTGTCTTTTTCAGGCAGCATGGGTGGAGACTGCTTAAGAGAGTGCAGCAGGTAGGCCGCCTGATCTCTGGCTGCTGATCCTTGCTCCTCATCTGCCCTCTCCATGGCATGGGGGGTGCACATGATATTCCATGCCGCCCCCATGCGTAGCCTATGCTTATCCCCAGCCTGACTCCCCTTCTAATGTCAGCAGGTCCCATCCTTTCCCTCTTGCACAGTGCCAAAAACCAGCAGCTTGCCACATTCTGGTGGGAACCCCGAGAGAAATCTGGGGAGGGGACTGTGATCCTGTGTGTCCCCCACATGTTGCCTTGAAGATGCAACACCATGTACCGGGAGAGGTGGGTCCATCTCAGGGGCCTAGCCAGGCATGGAGGGTGGAGAGCACTGGGTAGGAAGGACTGGGTCAGGTTGAGCAGTTAACCCCTGGGAGAGAGGTGTACGGGAATGTGTGTGTCACCTCTCCCTGTGCAAACCTCAAAGATAAAAACTCCAGCTCTGCAGGATTTCTTTTAACGGGCTCAGTCAACTTGATCTTAATTTGAACATTTGTACCGCATAATTCTGATTGATTGCCATTGAACTAACTTGAATATGTGTCCCATATTCAGCATAGGGAAATATGGTCACCCTATTGCTGATGTTCTAGCTTGGAAAATCTGGTCTTCAGAAGGCCTGGGGGGTCATCTGTGGAGGGGAGGGATTTCTGCACAATGCTTCCGTTTGGCCCTTTGCTCCCAGATTATTTTTTGCTTGTGTGGGGTTTGCATAACAAAGCAGGAGTAGATCAAAGTGTACAAGGGAATGGCGAGACATTCAGTGCACAGCAGGCTCATGGGGAAAGATTTACACCCCAGCTCACCATGCATTAAGTGTTAGTGAAAGCAAACCCTAATTTGTGTCCTATTTCTGTAGCCCCATAAGCATGCAGGGGCTTTGTAGAACAACATTGTTTCAGTCCATGAGAGCTTGTGGGTAACATTCTCAAAAGCACAAAGGCCCATTTTCAAAAGACGCTTAACCACTTAGGAGCTTGAGTCATTGAAAATGAATGGGACTCTGGCTTGCAGGTGCCCAAAGTCACTTTTGGAAATGAGACTTAGACCCTTAAGCCACTTAGGGTCGACACAGCAATTAAACACCCAGAACTGGCTCAAATCAGCTGACTCGGGTTCATTGGGTTCAGGCTGAAGGGCTGTAAAATGGCTGCATAGACATTGAAGCTCAAGATAGCGCCTGAGATCTGAGACCCCGCGAATGGAAAGGGCCACTGAATCCAGGTTCTAGCCAAAACCCAAATGTTTAGGCAGAAATTTTTAGCCTGCAGCCCAAATTCCATGAGCCCAAGTTAGCTGACCCAAGCCAGTCATACCCATGCCACAAGTGTTTTATTCCACTGTAGATTTACCCTAAGGGTACATCTGCACTGCAGGCTGTGGCACTGCCTGTGGCAAGTCTCAGAGTTTGGGTCTACAGCCAGATTGAGGGGGTTGATATTAATATCACTAAAACCAGCTGCACAGACATTTGGGCTTGGGCTCTGAAGCCCCTTCCTTTCCCTAGGTTTTGGAATTTTAGCTCCAGCCTGAACCCAAATGTTATTTTTAGTACCTGTGATCTGAGACTCACTCTGGCCTCCTGCGTAAATGAACCCCTTTTGGGATGCTTTTGGGAATTTTACCCTGTTTCTAAACTTTGACCCCAAGCCTGCAGACATGTAGGCATATGAGTCGTTGCATGTCTGAGTTTTTCCATTGTGCTCATGCTTTCTTCCACATGTACACGCAAGTAGTTTCATGAAGAAAGTGTTTGTAGGATTTGGTTCTCAGATTATCAAATTGATAATAACACCAGAGATTAGGAGAAGGCGTAGGAGGATGTTGCTGAGCACTGAGCCTTCTTCTCTCTGTAATTTTGTTTTCTCTTTGCTGGAAGATTTAACCATTGGTTTGACGGCATGGCCCTGCTGCATCAGTTCCAACTAGAAAATGGCACTGTGACTTATAAAAGCAAGTTCCTGCAGAGTGATTCCTATGTGACAAACAGCCAGCACAATCGGATTGTGGTCTCGGAATTTGGAACCTTGGCTGTGCCTGATCCATGCAAGAGCATCTTTGGGCGCTTCATATCATGGTTTGAGATGCCACGTAAGTAGGTTCCTTAGTTGAAAGCAATGTTCTTGAAGGTGGTATGCCTCCTCTGTGGGTGATACTTGCCTGGTGGAACAGCTTTTAGGTCTGAAGAAAGCTATGTGGAAGTTTGAGTGGCTCCGCTTTGAGCGGTTATTATTTTTGTGAGTATCAACCCTATGATGAAAATGCCGAGTCAAACTCTGCTGAAATAGACACACTTCACTTGGGATTTTGGCTGCCTCCTCCTCTCCAGCATATTGTTTCCACCCAAAATGAGAAATGTAGCTCACTAAAATATTTGTGCACCTTTGGTCTGGTCTTCCGAGGTGCCGGGCACCCACAGCTCCAGGAGAAATTGACAGATCCTTGGTGTGCTCAGCATCTCGTACTGTTGGCCCCATGGATGCCCTTTGTGACAGGGTGCAGTCACAGAAGACCCCTGGAATTGTTCCCTGGTGTGCTGATTATGCCATTGACACATGCCTTCTTGCTCCCTGGGGATCCCCACCACCCTGTCCTGGATGGCCAGATTATCTGATCTCCCCAGATCAGGCACAGAGCTGGGGTTACTGCCCCCCTGAAGAGCAGTGCAGACACTGAACCAATTCTGCTGTGGGAGAATGCAGTTCTAGGGCACAGCACTAGGAAACCAGCCCTCCAAAGGGATCAAACCTCCAAATAAATCTGTCTTTCTCTGAGTAAAGTGTTACACAAAAAAAGCTCCCAAGGATCTTTGCCCTCTTTATACATGAACGAGAGAGATGCACACTGGTCAATTTCCCCCTCCCCAGTAACAGTTATTTACACTGGGCCTGATAGTAAACAAAAGTGTTTTTATTAAGTACAAACAGCACAATGACCTGAACCAAAAGGAATCGGATTTCTTTGGTTTTAATTACAAACAAGTCTTTGTTCTTTGGCATGAACTCACCTGGATAGACAGAGTCCTGGGTGCTGTTGTACCTCTATGAGAGGTTTTTAATTGGTCATAAAAGGGCTTTCTGTCATTAGCAAATTGGTTTATTTGTTTAAATATACCTAATTTTTGTAACAAGAAGTTAGTATAATGTATCTCTATTATCCTGGGATTTTGTTTCAGGGTCAACGGATAACTCCAGTGTGAACTATGTGGTGTACAAGGGAGATTATTATGTCAGCTCTGAGACCAGCTATATGCACAAAGTGGATCCAGAAACCCTGGAAACCAAGGAGAAGGTGAAGAGTGGATGGGATGATGGGTTTGCCATGTGGCATGGGAGAATCACATCATACTGTTCCCAGAATGGCCTTGGCAGCTAGTGGGGATATTGCCAAATACCCTCATAGTCTTTGTGTCCAACATGCTGTGGCAAGAGTCCATGCTTGTTGTTGAGATCCAGTATACTTCTCTCTCCTGGAGAAATGACTTGTCTGTGGCAGATGCTGAAATTGCCAGGAAATCACAGTCACTGCGTCATCCCCATGGAGTTTAAGCCCCTCCACCCTGTGCTGCAGATGCTGAAGGATGTTGCAATTTTGAGGTGATTAGTGAAGCTGCTGGAATGCCTGAGGTCCAGTCCCAGCCATTGGCAGCAGGCTGGGTTAGACTTAGGAACTCCTCAGGTCAGTTCTATTTTAACCAAGAGTAAAGCAGGGTCTCTTCCAACTGTACATGGATTGCAGGGATCCAAGGTATGGAAATGCAAAAATATTTACTCATGTAACATCAAGGTTATAGATGTTAATGCTCTTGCAGCACTCCACTCCTGCTTATGCTTTGCCCCTAAGTTCCCTGTAAGCTGTGCGGCCGTGCAACTGCCTATTTAGCACCATGCAGGCATACAAGGAACCTGCTCTGGGACCTGCTGCAGCTCGGGGAAGAACTCTCCACCTCTGGCCCAAATCTAGCCCAGCCTCCAACTTGCCATGGCTGGTGAAGGGACAGCCCAAAGCCAGCTGTGGCCAGAGCAGCCTGGCCCCAGACCTGCCAGGATGGGCTAGCCCCAGATTGGCTGGGGCAGCCCAGCTGCAGCCTGAACCCCACTGTGGCCAGTAAGGACGTTAAAATAGTTAACCATTTAAATGGGAGCGCTTAACTGTTTAACCATTTTGACTTAAGTCCTGCTGTCCAGTCTGCTACCTTGCTCCACCATGGCCATAGCCGTGAGTTCCCGCTGTCCAGCCTAGTGCCCCCTCTGTGGCTGGGGCTGCTGTGGTCCACTATGACTGGCAACCACTGGAGTTCGCTGGAAAGGGCTAGTAAGTTTAAGGGCACATCTACATTTTACTTTCGAAAGAAAATATGCAAATGTAGTGGGAATTTGCATATCTTCTTCCGATTGCTTTTTGGAAAGAGGGGTTTTTGTTTCCAAAAAGCAAGCGGTCTAGAAGTGGTTCTTTAAGAAAAACCCACACTTTTTTTTTTGAAAGAACCTGTAAACCTCAATTTTTGAGGAAGAAGTTTCTTTTAAAAAAAAGAGGGTTTTTTTCTGAAAGAACTGCATCTCGACTGCTTGCTTTTTTGGAAAAAACCCACTCTTTCAAAAAAGTGATCGGTGAAAAAAGGGTTGTTGTTTTTTCGAAAGTACCAGGTCTAGATTGCTTGCTTTTTCGAAAAAAACTCTTTCGAAAAATCGATCAGAAGAAGATATGCAAATTCCTGCCAAATTTGCATATCTTCTTTCGAAAATAAAACATAGTCTAGACGTGCCCATATTGATTAACGTCATAAGAACATAAGAACGGCCAGACCAAAGTTCCATCTCACCCAGTGCCCTGTCTCCCACAGTGGCCAATGCCAGGTGCCCCAGAGGGAATGAACAGAACAGGGAATCCCCATGTGATCCCTCCCCTGTCATGCATATCCAGACAAAGTGGCTGGAATGGCCCTCTCCCAGCTCCAACTCAGCTTGGGCTTCAACCTGCTCAGGCAGCAGAGGGGCGCCTATCTTGTCACCCAAGTCTCAGAACTGCCATGGCCGGAAGAGGTACGTTCTGCCCCTTTCCAGCATAGGTGCTGCTAGTGCGAGTCCTCTCTCCTCGCAGGAGCTCTGGAGCACCCTTCTTCACCCTAAGTCCCTCAACGGAGCCTCAGCCTATAGCTTCACCCCCAGCCTGAGCCCTCACACCCCTGCACCCCAATCTTCTGCTCCAACCCTGAGCCCTCACATCCTTCCACCCCACCCCCCGTCTCAGCTCCGAGTCCCCTCCAACACTCAGAACGCTTGGGCCTAAGTTCCTTGTAAACCAAGCAGCTGCACAGCTTCCCATTAAGCCCCACACAGGGGCTCAGGGATGCCACAGGGAGAGATCTCTCTCTCCAAGCCCTGAAGCTGCTGGGGCTGGTGTAAAACTCCCCACTGGCCCAGCATGGAGCTGCTGAAGCTGGCAGGAAGGATCCCCTCTTCACTGACCCCAGCATGGAGCTGCCACAGGCTTCCACCCCACCCCCCGTCTCAGCTCCGAGTCCCCTCCAACACTCAGAACGCTTGGGCCTAAGTTCCTTGTAAACCAAGCAGCTGCACAGCTTCCCATTAAGCCCCACACAGGGGCTCAGGGATGCCACAGGGAGAGATCTCTCTCTCCAAGCCCTGAAGCTGCTGGGGCTGGTGTAAAACTCCCCACTGGCCCAGCATGGAGCTGCTGAAGCTGGCAGGAAGGATCCCCTCTTCACTGACCCCAGCATGGAGCTGCCACAGGAGTAAGGGACAGCTTCTCCACACAGGCCCCAGCAGCACCAAGCTGTCATGACCGGGGTAAAGAGGCTCCTTCTCATTGTCCCCAAAAGGAGCTGCCCAGGCCAGCCCAAGCTGCAACCCTCTGCCCCACTTTGAGACCCCACAGCCCTGACTAACCTCCTGCATCCCAAAGCCCTCATCCATGCCCCCAGCCCCAGCCCAGAGTCTGTACTAACCTTCAGTCCAGAGCCTGTATCCCTTCTTGCACACCAGTCTTGAGCTCCCGTCTGCACCCCAAACCCCTCATCCTCCACCCCACCCCAGAGCATGCCTCCTCAGGTATCCTGACCCTCTGTCCTAGCCTGAGCCCCTCATCCTGAGCCCCATCCCAGAGCCCACACCTCCAAGCCAGAGCCCTGTACCCCAACCCTAGCCACAGCCCTGAGCCCCCACCCACACTCAGAATCCCTTGACTCCACACCCTCCATATTCATTTTTTTATGTGCACCAATAAGGAGGCGATGTGTTGCACGTCATTTCCCCAATCGGCGTACATAAGACAGTTCATTCCATTCAGAGGTGGAAAAAAATTGGAGGCAACACTGCCCAATGTGAACGTGATGTGTCACAGCTCTGCTCTAAGGGCTGTGTCCTAGAGCAGGTTTGAAAGGATTTCCTTTTAAATCCCAATTTATATAATGAAACTTGAGTCCTGCTTAGCTTTACTCTACTTTAACCAATCATTTTACTAATGTATTACGAAATAATCTTTGATCAATCCTAACATATTGCAAAACATTTTTTAACCAATCATGTAACAACACCATCTTAGTTGACTTAAATCTTGCAAAACTACTGGTGCAACCAAGCCTGCCGATGGGGATTGAGGGTGGCAAAGGGAGCAGTTGTCCTGTGTTAGGAGGTTCAAAGGAGTCTGGGGCTCCCGGTTTGCTGATGCTGCTACTGTAACTGGCAGCAGGACATCCAGGCCTCCTTAAATTGCCATGGGAGCCCCTCTGAGGGTGGGGAGTAGGGTCCAGAACCTGCCATAGTCTTGGTAGCACTGAAGGCTGGCTGACCCGGTTCCAGCCTTTCCGCTTGAGGCCCCACCCTCTCCGGGGTGGCCGCCACACATCTTGCCTGGGGGCCTACAGAAGCTGTCAGCTCCCTTGTGTGCAACAGAGCGAAACAATCAAAAAACCTGGTGGAGATCATACAGATGAATATAGAGACGGACAGACCATAGGGCAATCCAACAGAAATATAGATTTCAGTCACAACTGTTAATACATGATTCCTTGCCAGAGAGAATGCCAGCAAGCAAAGTTTTCTTTAAATATCTTAGAGTATGTCTACACTGCATTCCTCTTTTGAGGGAGGAATGCAAATGCAGCTGAGCAAAATTGCAAATGAAGCGCAGATTTGAATTTCCCGTGCTTCATTTGCATAATGGCATCTGGGCACTTTTTCTAAATACCCTATTTCGGAAAACCCCCCGCCGTCTATGAGGCTTAAGGGATATTTCGAAAGAAGGATTTTCTTTTTTCGAAATAGGGTATTTTGAAAAAGCGCCCGGACACTATTATGCAAATGAAATGTGGGAAATTCAAATCCGTGCTTCATTTGCATTTTTGCTCGGCTGCATTTGCATTCCTCTCTCAAAAGAGGAATGCAGTGTAGACATACCCTTAAAGAGATTCCTTGCTTATCTGGAGAGGAGTACTATTAGGAGGAGCACCTTCTTAAAAGCCTGATATTACATTATTTTATATACTTGAGAAATAATGTGAGGACGTGACTTTCTGCTTCATGGTTTATGGCTACTACATTCCGAATATGGCTGCAGAAAAAGGCCTCAGATGTTCTAATAGACATGATTCCTGCTCTAACTCTCAACATCTTTGAATTTGCAGGTGGATTGGAGCAAATTTATTGCAGTGAATGGAGCAACAGCCCATCCACATTATGAGCCTGATGGGACAGCCTACAACATGGGCAACTCTTACGGGAAACATGGTGAGGCTAGGCAGGGTCACTGTTTGGGGGGGCACAGTGAGGTGAGGCAGGGCTGGTCCGGCAGGGAGGCTAGGAAGACTACATGCTATTTCGGTAAGCAGGAGTTTTTTGATGGAGTCTAACAGGACACAATGACAGCAAAGTAGCATCAATCTTAAATTGTGGCTGCCATCAATCTCACCATGACATTTGTTCTCTTAATGCAGGGGTGGGCAATAATTTTTGCATGGGGGCCATTTAAAAAATGTTTAAATTAGCCCTGGGCCACCCTGGAAGGGGAGGGACCTAAATGGGAAGGGGTGGGGCTACCCCATGATTGGTCTGGGGGTGGGGGAGCCCCTTTGCCCCCCCTTCCCACTAGGCACCCATGCCTGATTGGCCTGGGAGCGGGGGAGCACACAAAGCCTCCTCCACTCTCCCCCTTGCCCTGTGAACAGCGCCTGGCGCTTCAAAGTGCTACATGCTCTTGGCAGGGCAGGAGGAGGCTTTGGGTGCTCCCCCACCCCCAGGTCCTCATTGGCCTGGGGGGGGGGGAGCAGGCGGGCCCGTCTTAATGATTAGGCTCTTCAGTTAATGTGCTTTGAGTGACTGTCTTATCCCAATGGCCACAAACCTTGCTGTGAGTGGCAGGGAAGAAATGCAGGGCACTGCCCTGGGTAGGGATGAGCTGTGCCATGTGCACGTGTGAATCATTTTGGTAAAGGAGGCTTTTTAAGGAAATTAACAAAGAGTTGGGGCTGAATCCAAAGCCTTTTGAAATCAATTAGAAGATTTTCCATGAACTTAAGTGGAAATCCACCCCCCCAAATCTGCAGCACTGTAGCTATTCTCTCTGTAGTTCTCAGTTATGAAACAGTGACTGCTGCCAGAGGATGTCTGTGAAAACTTAGCAGGCTTCATAACAGGACATTTCTATGGGGGGAAAAAAGATTTAAAATTTAGTGTGTCAAGGATTAAAATAACCAAGAGATGTGGATGGGAGGTAAACCCAGTCGTTCAGGGCATGAGCCAACCTCAGATTATTGCAGGACACGGAGACGCCACCCTAAGGAGACTTTGTCCCTAAACTACAGGTTTTTTTGAACTTTCTTTTGAAGCAGCCTGTAGTGGCCTGTAGAATAGTAGACAGACCATTGGTGTGATCCAATGTGGGAATTTCTAAAGATGAGAGAATGTGGTGAGAGAAAACGTAGTAGTCCATATTCCCTTGCACTTGAGGTGCCAGGTGTGTACCTCATTCTTTGTCCTCCACAGCCATGGGTTATAGTGGGATCAGTTTCTGTAGCCAGTTTTCCAATACTAGGAAGATATTGTCCACAAACCCTATTCGAGTAGCCCCTCAAAACCAACTTTAATTTTTTTTTGCATAAAGCCATTCCTCCCCAGTGTGCCTCAGCCGTGAGAAAGTAGCTAATGCCCTGTGTTGTTAGGCCTCAGGCTGCTGGCTTGCACCAATTCACCAAACAATTCCCTGGCTTTGCTGTTCTTTCATTCTTGCTGTGTTAATTCCTTTGTGCTCAGCAGCATGCAGCTTCAGTTTTCCCCACAGGGTCATGCACAGAACTTACCAGGCCATCGATCCCCAGTGGGCGGGTGGGAGGAGCAGATTCAGTAGACAGGCAATCATGAAAACCAGGGCTCAGAATTCTGGTTTCTCTCTTTGACATGGGAACGTCGACGCTGGTTTGCATTCTCACTCCATTGTGGGTGCTCAGATGCTGCAACAATGAGCTTAACACAACTGCTTAGGTTTGATTCCAGTTTGTCTGACGGAGGCCCTGTTGTAAAGAAAGTGGCTCTTTATCTGCTCAGCTTAGCCAGTGCTGTGGCTCCAAATCTCTTAATGAGACAGAAAACAGCAGAGCCCAACAATAGCTATGTGGAAACTGCCACTAGTGAGACTTGGAACAAGTCAGAAGAAATTGCTGTTATAAATGAAGGAATCTGATGGGGATTCTCTTCTGTGGCTGGAAGCAATGGGTAGATTTCAGCATAGGGCCAAGTGCATAGGGGAAGGGGGGGTTGTGTTCTGCTGTGAACTGAATCTGTATCTTTAGAATTTCAGCATGTGTCAGGGCATGGTCAAGTATTAGCCCTCCAGCTCCTGTTTATAAAATGTATTTGGCAACATGGTGTCCTCCTGGGACAAATGAAAAATTGCCGCACTCTGCTGCTCTCAGACTGGAGTGCTCTGGCCAGCCTGTATACTGTGACAGAAGGAATGGGTTTGGGAGAACTTGAGTAGATGTGTAGAATGGAGCTTTCCTGTCCTGTGCCTAATACATAAAAAAACCAGGAAGATCTTCCTTTCAAGGACATGTGAGTGCAGGCCCCACATGAGTATCTGGTCAAAGTTTTAAAAGCTCGTTCACCTGATGGGATTCGGGAGTGTGTGGCTAAAATATTTAAAGCTCTTTGGAGGATTTATTCCAGTGGGAATTGTGTGGTTAAATCCCTTAGTGGGTATTGAAAACCTCATCTGGCATGTCTTGTAACTGAAAACTGATCCATTAGAACTCTGAACGTGGACAGGGCTAACGAACACATCTGTGGTTGCCTGCCCTGAAATGCTGACAGGGTCAATCCTGGGTCTCTGGGCTGATGGACTCGTTTTCTCCTTTCCAGGCTCCAGCTATAACATTATTCGGATTCCTCCACAGAAATCTAACTGCAGCGACATGTTGCAGGGAGCCAAAGTCGTGTGCTCTATTGCTCCTGCTGAGAAGATGAAACCCTCCTACTATCACAGTTTTGGTGAGGTGCCTCCTATCCTCCACTATGCCTTGTGCTTGCAGATTCAGCACAGCTTTCAAGCTACAACTTGCTATACCTGAGGTCAAATAGTAGAGGCAGGTTGTTCACTGACCTGTGCTTCCAGCTGTTCTCATTACCTCATTTGCCTTTTGGAGCAAAACATCTTGATTTTCCCCTTCTGTTCAGGAATGAGTGAGAACTATGTGATCTTCATCGAGCAGCCCATCAAGCTTAATCTGCCTCGGATCATCACATCCAAGTTCCTTGGGAAGCCCATTGCTGATGGGATAAACTGGGAGCCACAGTACAAAACCCGCTTCCATGTGGTGAATAAGCACACGGGAGAGGTAAATCTTCTGCCATTCCATTAGTCATGTAGGCCTAGATTTCTCCTGCCCAGTTGATCTAGAAAATGCCCCTGGTCTGTATGAGTCAGTCTAGGAACTACTGCAATATTAGCTTGAAAACCAGGGAATGGGTAGGCTTCCTGGATGAGGAACGATTAGGTGCTAGAGCAGAGGCAAATGCAAGAGAATTCTCTGCTGCCGGTTAAAAGAACATAAAGGCAGTTAGGGACTCTTGAGGTTTACAGGATCTTTCCAAAAAGCCTTCCCCTTTTGAAAGAACTGCGTCTAGACCGCAGTTTTACTTTAGAAATAGCGCTGTTTCGAAAGAGCGCCATTAAGTGATTATGCAAACGAAGTGTGGGGAATTCAAATCCCAGCTTCATTTGCAATTTCGAAGGGCCTAATTTACAGCCCTCTGTCGAAAGAGGGATGTAATCTAGACACAGCCTCACACTGCCACTCCAGGAGGGTGGTATTGCCCCTGGGTGTCGGGCCCTGGCCATGGGGTGCGTTGAGCTCCCAATTGCCTGGATCTGGTTCAGCCCATAATTGGCTGTGAAGCTGTTGTTCTTCTGAGATCTAAGACAGGGCTACTCAACTTTGGAAACCCCTGGGGCCACAATGATACTCACAGCATATGCCGAGGGCTGCAACTTAAGTGTGGTTACATAGACATGCAAATACATATGCAAATAGCATCTTTCACTCGGATGGGTATGAATTCAAAGGTTAAGGCAAGACTACACAACACACAGGCCCCATTTAAGACAGTTCTGCTGATATTAATAAAGTGCAATATTTACCCGATTTCCACCCACTTTTAATGAGTAATGACAGTCCGGGAATTTAACTACTAAAATGCATATCAACAGAAGACCGTTCTATTGACTTCTTGTTTGTTTTGGCTCCCACCTGCAGGCCACATACCAAGCCCTGTGTAAACCCAAAACGTACAGTGGGCTGCAAACAAATAGAGCGCGGGCCACATGCTGAGTAGCCCTGCTCTAAGATACGTGGTGCAAAAAGAATGAGTGGGGAAATGGAAAGGGAAAGCAGGACTTTCCGGGCCCAGGGAGAGGGTGAGATTGTTGGAGGTGGGAAACAAATCTTGTCTCCCTGCAGCTGCTTCCTGGGCAGTTTTACAGCAAGCCATTCGCTACCTTCCATCAAATCAACACCTTTGAAGATCAGGGCTGTGTGGTCCTTGACCTCTGCTGCCAGGACGATGGAGGGAGCCTGCATAATTACCAGCTCCAAAACCTGCGCAAAGCTGGGGAGGGTCTGGATCAGGTAACGCTGCTGCCTCGGTGTCTGTCATATGGCTGGGAAATACAGAGGGAACTGAAAGCTCCTTGGAGTGAGAGAGTCTTACTGATTTGTGGGCAATGTGAGACTGTTTCATTGTTTTAGAATCTGTAAATGTGTATCTAAGTAACAATGACATTAATCCAAGGAACAGTGTGGGAAGAAGGGTCAGAGCAATGGCTCAGAGAAGGAATAGGAAGTTCTGGGTGAGCAGGAGAGGCAGAGTGGATGGAACAGTGGACTAGAAGTCAGAAGAATATGGTTCTATTCCTGGCTCTGACACTGAACTGCTGGGTGAACTTGGGCATGTCACTTTTCCTCTCTGTGCCTGTTTTCCATCCCACTCTTTGTGGTTCTTATTAATTTAAGCTATGAGCACCTTCAGGCAGGACTGTTTCTATGTTTGTACAGTGCCTGGCAGCATGGGGCCCTGATCTCACCTTGGGCCCTCTAGGTGCTGTGCTAATACAAATAATAAGAGAGCAGGGTGCTTTGGAAGGGGGGAAAGGGCTGGAGTTCACTGGGTGCTTGCTCCACTATGGGGACCGAGTCACCAGCCTGTTCTGCTCTCTCTATCTCTCTGTCTTCCTCATAGATCTATAACTCGACAGCCAGAGCTTTTCCACGCCGCTTTGTTCTCCCACTGAATGTGGATTCAAGTGTGCCCATAGGGCAGAACCTCAACCCTTTGTCCTACACATCAGCGAGTGCTGTTAAAGAGGCGGATGGGACGGTATGTGTTAAGGGCATAAGTAACTACACTGAAGGTGGCGATTGTATTGTGTGTGTGCACCTGGATTTCCTTGTGATATTGACTTTTTAGATCTTGCAAGGTTAGGCTTGGTCTGTACTTGGGTGGAAGTCAGTACAAAGCCTAGTGTCCTGGCACTGTGTTGCTGGAGATGCCATCTTTTAAATGCGATGTAAAACCAAGAACCTGACCACACAAAGTCACTTTAAGCCCCTGTGGCACTTTTGGCAAGAGTTGGGGTGTTAACCCTGGTGTAACTGGCCAATTTCTATCTTGTGATTCCAACATTCATCCTGCACTTTCAGTTGGATACAAGATTGTTCTTCGCTTCCTTCCCTAAACCGCTGTGCAGTGGTGTCATGGCTCCTTCCCCACTCTGGCATGATAAATGCAGAAGTGGGGGCCAGCAAAAGTACCCCAAAACCTTATCTACCAGACTTTGATATAAAACTTCCCCCCAAAATCTTAACAACCTAGATTTTGAGAATAAAATCCTTCGCTGCCACCACCTATGTAATAATAAAGAGATCAGGGGAGAAATCACTTGGGAAATATCACCCCTGAAGTAAAAACCAGGACACAAAATTAACCAGTACCAGGTTAATAAAAAAGAAAAGAGAAAGCTTTTATTATCACCAGTCTTCCTGTTGCAAGTGTAATGACTAGACTGAAAGGTAACAACATATACACTCATGGAGAGACTCCATGGCTATGTCTAGACTGGCATGATTTTCCGGAAATGCTTTTAACGGAAAAGTTTTCCATTAAAAGCATTTTCGGAACAGAGCATCTAGATTGGCACAGACGCTTTTCCGCAAAAAAGCCCCGATCGCCATTTTCGTGATCGGGGCATTTTTTGCGGACAACAAATCTGTGCTGTCTACACTGGCCCTTTTGCACAAAAGTTTTGCGCAAAAGGACTTTTGCCCGAACGGGAGCAGCATAGTATTTCCGCAAAAGCACTGACAATCTTACATGAGATCGTCAGTGCTTTTGCAGAAATTCAAGTGGACAGTGTAGACAGCTGGCAAGTTTTTCCAGAAAAGTGGCTGATTTTCCAGAAAAACTGGCCAGTCTAGACACACCCCATGGGCCTAGAACTTAGTTACAAAGAAAAGCCAAAACATTGTTTAAAAATGCTCAGACATCAGATCCCATACCCAACCCATAAAATAATAAAACCTAACGGATTTATCTAAACTTTATCCTACTTACAAAAAGTGAAGAATGGTTTCTTGGAGAGAGAGAGAGAGAGACATACATGTCTGTCTCCCTCAGAAGCTGGAGGGGACTGTCCGAGACAAAGGAGGGAAAAACCAAAAATCCTTTGTCCCAGTTTGAAAGTCCTACCTACATTCCTATTGGCCACTCCACCTGGCTAGGTGTAGTTAACCCCTTAGTCCCCAGGCTGCGGGCTAACCCTCATAATCATGACAAGTGGTTAATCAGTTACTGCATTCCACTCAGGTCTGCATAGAGCTGTATGGACTCCTTAGCTCGGTTGGGAGGCTCAGATTGGCAGGGCAGCGGCACGCTCAAGCACAGACTTTGACACAAAGTCTACAAGCCCAGGTCCCACAGATCTGGGCTTACGGTGCAGTATGCACATAGCTCCGGAGGGGGAGCCACATGATTGGTGGAGGAGCAATCCCTGGATCAGCTTGTCAAGCTGAAAGATGCTGTACAAAACATTGGAGTTCTGCTACTGTTATGGAGGTTCAGGCCTTCCAGGTCCTTTTGAACCCTCAGATTGCTGTGAGTGAAAGTTTCTTCCTTGAGTGAAATGAATAAGGGAGCCAGCATGGCTCTGGCAGAGGCTGGCTAGAGGTGTCCAGGGAGCAAAGCCAGACATTCCATCTCCCCTGTAATAGCTGGATAGCAAGATGATGTGACTAGTTTGGCATCAAAGCTTCTGTCCCAAGTCAGGGCTAAGTTACACCCCTGTGCTCTGTTCTTGTCCTAGGTCTGGTGCATGCATGAAAATCTCCACTCTGAGGACCTGAAGGAGTTTGGGGGCTTGGAATTCCCCCAGATTAACTACTCGCGTTGCAATGGCAAAAAGTACCGCTTCTTCTATGGCTGCGGCTTTGGGCACCTGGTGGGAGATTCACTGATCAAGATCGATACAGAAACCAAACAAATGAAGGTGAGACGAAAGGAAGATTTTCTTCTTTAAGACCCTGGAGCTCTCCCCATTCAATGACTCAGCTTGTGAACTGGCTATTGTGGGGTTTCAGTTATCCTGAAGCCTAGGCAGCTCTCTCACCCTCCGCACTAGGATCTGTTTAACAGAAGGGCTGGGATTGGACGTTCATTTCCATTCTCTGCCCTGTTCTGCATGATTGTGACACCCTAACACAAGGAGCAGACATCTTTTGGGTCTCTGGACAGACCAGGGCAGGGGAAGGGGACATGGGTATGGAAAGAGGATCAGGATCTGAAAGGGTGGGAAATGTGTGCACTAAAAGGTTGTTATTGGGTTCAGTGTGCAGATGCTGAACGGTGCTTGTGGCCTGTGATACCCAGGAGGTCAGACCAGCTGGTGGCCCTTTCTGGCCTTAAACTCTATAACTCTAAAAATACAGGCAAACCCACAATGTGGAGGTTACGCTTCCAGGGTACCTAGAATTTGGGCTTTTGGGGTCTGAGTCGACAAACATAGAATTCAGATATCGTGTCTCACCAATATGCAGTATGTGTCCTCACTGGGACAGGTTTTAATCTTTGGGCCTGTGACATGGAACCTTCAGTGGCATAATGGGGCTTGGGCAGCCATGAGAATTTCCCTGCTTTGGTGGGTTTAAACACCAGATCTGAATTTCTTTTTCAACACTAATAGGCTAGGGGCCAAAGGGAGTTGGTATTTGTCTGAAACAAGTCCTCAATTAGTTTTAATTCAGTGAAAATCTGTGTGTGGACAGTTATTTTAGAATAAACTCATCCTATTTTATTTTAGTTTTAATTGTAAAACTTAACTTTTGAGCTAAATCACATCAGAAGGTGAGTTTATTGTGAAATAAGAATGTTCTCCCATGGAGACTGGCACTGAAATGATGAAAGATGTGAATTAAATCCAGTGTAGTTATTCTGGTGCAAGTCTCTATAGATGTGTATGCTGATGTGGATGAGCTCTTCTGCTGTAAGAGCAAACATCTCCAAACAATGCTAGATGTGTTAGTTATGGCCAGAGAGGGACATCGAGGACTGCTGCTTGATAGGCTGTCATTTAAAAACAAAGCGAAATTTCAAATTGTGAATGAAATATCTCACTGTGCCCAGAGTTGGTCTATGCCACCTTGTGTTCCCTTCCGCATTCCCTCCATAAGGTTGCTATCCTCACTTTGTTGCATCTTGTAATTTAGACTCTAGTCCTGCAGGGAGCTCTGTGCAGACAGCTCCAGTAAGTCAGTGAGGTTTGTTATAGGTATGGGGATCTGCTAGGTCCAGCTGTATGGACCTAGTTGCAGGATCAGGGCCTTAGATTGTAACTTCCTCATGGCACAGGGTATCTCTGCCTTTCTGGACAATATAAATGGATCCTGGGCCCTGATTCTGCCCAAGGTCTCTGGATAACGGTTGTATCTAAATCATAATAAAGTACATCTATTATGTCATTGCCCGCTAGATTTGGCAAGAGGATGGATTCTACCCTTCAGAGCCTGTGTTTGTGCCAGTGCCTAAAGCCACCGCAGAAGATAGTGGAGTCATTCTGTCCGTAGTGGTCACACCCTTGCAGGTAACTCATTCTCATTTCTCCCGAGTAGCAAGAAATTGTTGTGCGTATGGTTTTAAAGTCACAGCATTGGATTTGATGCCCTCTAGAGGGCAGTCTCAACACTTCTTTCCTCATGCTCATCTGCTTTCCAGTCTCTGTACTGCTGAGTTTTATTTGCAGCCACTCCGTCCTTTGTAATTGTCAGTCGCAGCAGCGCAGCAGATTCCTAATAGCAGCCTAGTTTCTGAGGCCAAAGCTGCTTTGACAGCATGTCCAAGGAACACAGGTTCTGGCTTTGTCTTGGGTGCTGGCTTGAGCAGTCTTAGGCTGTGTCTAGACTGCATCCCTTTTCCGTAAAAGGGATGCAAAATAGACATATCGCAATTGCAAATGAAGCGGAGATTTAAATCCCCCCTGCTTCATTAGCATAAAAATGGCTGCCGCTTTTTTCCGGCTCGGACCTTTGCCAGAAAAAAGCGCCAGTCTAGACGCAGATCATTCGGAAAATAAAGCCTTTTCCGAAAGATCCCTTATCCCTTATTTTAAGAGGGATAAGGGATCTTTTGGAAAAGGCTTTATTTTCCGCAAGATCTGCATCTAGACTGGCGCTTTTTTCCCGCAAAGCTCCGTGCCGAAAAAAAGTGGCAGCCATTTTTATGCTAATGAAGCGGAGGAGATTTAAATCCCCGCTTCATTTGCAATCGCGATATGTCTATTTTGTATCCCTTTTACAAAAAAGGGATGCAGTCTAGACACAGCCTTAGGGTATGTCTACACCGCAGCGTTATTTCAGAATAACTAATGTTATTCCCAAACAACAAAGACTGTGTCTACACCGCAAGCCATTATTTTAAAATAATGTCAAGCTGGAGGATTTCTTAGTCTGACTCCTCTAACCCTCATTTCACAAGGATTAGGAGGAGTCGAAGGAAGAGTGTTCTTCCTTTGATTTCCAGCTGTGTAGACAGCGCCAAAAGCCGAATTAAGCTATTTTGACTTCAGCTACGCAACTGACGTAGCTCAAATTGTGTAGCTTAATTCAACTTTAGCCCTGCTGTGTAGACATGCCCTTACTGTGCAGACAGACTCTTCCTTGTGGAACAGGAGATGAGATGGGTGGGAAGGCAGAGTGTAATCTAGCCCTGCCATGTCTGTCTTTCATTCTGTAGAACAAAAATACTTTCCTGCTTATCCTGGATGCAGAGACCTTCAGAGAACTGGGCCGTGCAGAAGTCCCAATACAACTGCCTTATGGATTCCATGGAATCTTTGTCCCACGTTAATGGAGAAGCCAGCTACCTCTTACTAGAAGCTCCTCGCCACTTGAAGCACAGGATTAGGTCGAGCATAATGTTGAATCTCTATTTTCCTTGCCTTTGGGTCCTGCATTGTGCCTTTGATGAAGGAGCTAGCTCTGTAGCCCCAAAGCTGTTCTCTGTGCTGCTATAATATTATTAATATGCAGTGAATGGGTCTGATCCTAACACTGTGCAAGGCAATAGCCTCTCCTCCAGAATAGCCCATTGCCTTGGCTCACTTCACTGGCCTACTCTGCCAGTCTGCTACAGCCCACATGCTGCCAAGAGCTGGGTAGGCAATAGAGGCAGCAATGTGCTCCGGGTGGGAGAGGCCAGGAAGCAGCTCTGCTCCAAGCGACGGCTTTGGCTTTAGTGCACAAAGCTAAAGACCAGAAGGGACCAAGGGAAGGAGGGAAAATTGCCTCTCCCAAGTCCCAGGTGTGCCTCTGCTTTTGGAGGAAATGACCTCAGTTCAACCAGGAAGAGCAGAGAGGGTTTTGCCCCACCTGGCAGCTGGAAAAGGTCAGTTCCAGAGTTTGTCTGTGCACTAGCAGCTGGTGCAAATGTCAGTCCTTTTCCCCATACTGTCATTGGAAACCCTGCATATGTCAAACCACACCCCTGCCACAACACACTAGTGAAACCCATGTGGGTCGAAGACCCCATCCCCATCATACACTCATGGTAAAACCAGTGTGGGTCAAACATGCCCCAACACACCCCTACTTTACCTTCCCGGTGAAACCTACAGGAGTCAAATGCCCCTGACATGCCTCAACCCCAGTGAAACCAGAAAGAATCAAATATGCCTCCACACTATATCCTGCCATCAAGTCAGAGTGCGTCAAACACTTCCCTGCCATGCCCTGGACAATCCACAATGAAACCAGCAGGGATCAAATTCAACTCTCTTTTTATTTTTTCTACTTGCACACTTAGGGCACACCTACACAGCAGGACTAAAGCCGAAATAAGCTTCCCAACTTCAGCTACGTCAATTGCGTAACCTAAGTTGAAACAGCTTATTTCGGCTTTTGGCGCTGTCTATGCAGCAGGAAGTCCAAGACAGCATTCTTCCTCCAATTTCCCTTGCTCCTTGTAAAATGAGGTTATGGGAGTCAGAGTAAGAAATCCTCCAACTCGCCACTATTTTAACATTCTGTTGAAATAACTGCTTGTAGTGTAGACGTGGACTATATTATTTCAGAATAACGTTAGTTATTCTGAAATAACACTGCTGTGTAGATGTACCCTTGGGGGCAATACGTTAACTGATCTTCCTTCAGTATAATATAACTCCTGTTCATTCATTCATCTTTAAGGTAGAAGGGCAGGTCCCTTGGTTCTCAGATGCTTTAGTTGTGGTGGAATGGGTGAAGAGAGAATCTGTCGGTTGGTTTTGGAGGCCACATACAGTTCCTTATTGTCTGTCTCTACTAATAAAATACTACTCATGGTGAATGGTACCTGGAGAGTGGGCTCCACTTCTTCCGCAGGGATTCTCAAGCAGTGCTTCCTGTAAGCTGCGCATTTGGGTGGTCACCCAAAAGAGATTCAAATGCTGCCCAGCTGATTAGTAGAGCGCCCACAGCTGGCAGAAGCATGTGTTGCTACTAGGGATATAAAATCCTGTTTAATTGGTTAACCAGTAAAATGTAATCTTTAACCAGTTAACCAATTAAAGGGCAGGTGGGGAGGCCAGAGTAGCCCCTGTCTGTGGCATGCCTGGGCCCGCTGTGGACAGGGACTGCTCTGACCTGGCTGGAGCGTCCATGTCTGTGGTGGACCCTGCGGGCTGGAGCAGCCCCCTGCCCATGGCAGGCGAGGAGTTGCTCCAACCCCCACCGGTTAACCAGAACCGGTAAGCATCATCCATTAAAGGAGATGGGTCACCATTCACATCCCCAGTTGCTACTGGTGGTGCACATCCACACATGTCTTCACAAAATTTACTCTGCACATAGGTGGAAAAAGTTAGAGGGAACATTGTTCTCAAGCCATACATATTAAAGGCCAGAAGGGACCATTATCATCATCTCTCCTGAGCTTCTCCATAACATAACCCCAAGGGCTAACTTTGGCAGGCCGGATCTGGCCCATAGGCTGGCGTTTGCCCACCCCTTCTATAAGGGATGAGCTCCATTAAATAGAGCAGTACTAACTCCAGAGAGACAGAGCATTCTCTGCTCCTAGAAGGAAGTGAGGGTGAGGAATTAGCTCAGCCCGTAGGTATATGGGGGGATAACTAGGCGCAACAGATGAAATAAAGCAAAGGAAAACTGAGTCCTGCTGCCATTTCCCTTGGGAGCTTTTCCTGGTGCAAAGGCCTATTGGCTGGGACTTGTGAAATGAGACTGGACACAACACTAGCAAATAGCTGCTATGGGACAGCTGGCTGAGAATTTTCCCATCTTATCTTCCTTTGTTCGGATGTCACGTGCACGTGTTAAAGAAGCTTGACTCCCCTGTATGACCTCACAGGGATAAAGCCTTTCCCCTAGAGAAGAAGGCAGGTGATAATGACCTTTCCCATTAGCCAGTCTTGTTGGCTGCCTGTGTTACAGGCCAGAATCTTGAAAAACGAATACTCTTGTGGCACCTTAGAGACTAACAAAAATATGTAGGATCATGAGCTTTCATGGGTAAAAATCCCCTTCACAAGTCTTGCTTACTAGCCCCTCATGGAGACATTATTCTCAGCTTGTTCTCCAGCATTGCAGATGGTTGGACAGCAGGTGGGGCACTACACCATGCCAGGCACAAGTACCATGGTGTTGACTCCTCCTAACAATCCTGGGCTCTCCCCAGCAGTAGTGCAAGTTCCCACTGCTGTTGAACTGCAGCTTCACCTGGCTGTGTCCTGTACACGCAGTACAGTAAAACTCCGATTGTCCGGCATCCAGTGGTCTGGCACTCCTGATAGTCTGGCACCAACTGGAACCCAGAAGTGCTCCAGCCAGCCGGACAATTGGAGCTGCTCTGCCCCCGGCTTCCTCAAGTCCGCCGCTGGTCAGTTTCAGCAGCAGCTGACTTGGGGAAGCCGGGGGAAGAGCAGCTGGGGTGCTGCCAGGTTCGTCCCACAGCGCCGCCCTCTCCCATGCTACGCAGTTCCCTGCCAACCCTCCACCCTGCAGACCCCTCATAGCCCCCCTTCCAGTACTCTGGCATATCTGATAATCTGACACTCCCTGGGTCCTAAAGGTGCCGGATTATCAGAAGTTTACTGTATTTCAGTTGTCACCTCCCGAGGGATTACACCAGCTGCAGCTCTGCTCTGATTCAGCAACTAAATGTACTCTGATCCGTAGAGTCAGTAGCTGAAGGAGACACCATGAGGGTGATCTGCAAAGCCTGTTTATTCACACAGTGTTGTCATTAATATTCCTCCCCGAACGGTGTACCTGGTCATTCCTGGCCCCCTGTCGGAGACCGCAAGGACCTACTACACCTGCTTCAGGAAAGCAGTAGAGAAAGTATGTCCTTTGGGCCTGTCTAGAGAAGCCTCATGCAGCCAGCCCATCTAAGCCCCACTGGCTCAGATCAAAGGAGCTGTTGGGCGTAGGCAAGTCAGTCTTTGGCTGGGGGAAGAGAGACCAGAGGGATGGGTTTGGGAGCTGCCCTCTGGCCACAGGTGCTTAAAGAGTGGACAGATTTTGGTTCCAGCTGCATTGACTTAAGCTGGGGGGCAGTCAGGGCCACTGATGTGGGAGGGGGGGGGAGCAAAAAGGACAGCTGCTCCAGGACTTGGTGATTTCAAAAGGGGGTGCCTGGCCACCACTACCGCACCCAGACCCCTGGGCCTTTTAAATCATTGCTGGAGCCCTGCACAATGCAGGTTGTACAGCACTGATGGGCTGGCTGGGGAAGGCTAGCTCCCAGTCCTACCCTTCCACCTGAGGCCCCACCTCATTCAGGTGCCCTCTCCCCCCATGCCCAGGGGCCCAGCAATTCTGTCAGTAGCCCCAGGGGCAGGCCCTGAAAACTTAAGCGAGCAGTGGAGATAAAGGGGCCAAGTGGGAAAAGGTCCAAGGAAGTAGCAGCTATAAATGGAAATGTGCGGCACATGTGGCTGATGTTCGTAGCGTCCCTGGTTTGGAACCTGGCGAAGGGCATGGGCCTGGTTCCCCCACTGGCCACTGAGGAAGTGGGGTAAGCCCCAGCAATGAGATAAGGCTCGCGGGGGTGCCCCGCCAAGGGCTGGATTTAAAGAGTAAAGAGCAGGAGCTGAAGAGCCTGGTGAGAGCAGAGAAGCAGTTTTGTTTGATTCTTTCCTGAGCTGAAAGAGGTTCATTTTGCCTGTGTCACCTGGTCACCCAAACTGTGTAACTCGGTTTGAGGGCCAAGCCAGTGGAGACCTGCCAAGTGAGGTCCACAACCTTACAGGGACACCAGGTGTGAGAAAAGGACTGCAATACCACACAGCAGCAGCAGGAGGCGTTCAAAAGGTGAGTGTCCTGCTATACCACTATGATCCTTTGCCTCCCCAGTAACCGGCTAAGGACATTTCAGTGTCTGCAATAAGCTTGGTTGTTTATGTTGGCTGGGAAAATTAGCCTTAAAATGTTCACTCACAACATGTCAGCAGCAGGCAAGAGTGAGACCAGGGCTGGACACGGTTAGTGAGGCAGGAACAGGAACTACCTGCAGTGCAGGAGATTGTATCTTGATTGCAAAGCTTCATTTCTTCTGTGGGCAATGCTAATCCCTGATTATGCCGTGTGTGCTCAGGTCACATGCTGAGGCCCTCGGAGCCGTCTCTTCTCCCTTGTATACAATGACGGCTTGTTCAGTTTCATACACCTTGACCTTATAAAGAGCCCCTGCGGGCAGGCGCTTCTGAAGGTTTTCCCAGATGTACACTGCTACATTCTCAGTTGTGCTGCAGGGAAAACAGGGCTCAAGTTAGAGATGGAGCAGCAAGTGCACGTTAGATACCTCTTGTTGCTCTCTTTCTTACTGCCTTGCAGCTGGAGTCTGGATCTATCTGATCAGTTCCTCCGAACTGAGGGTGTGGTGACATACATAAGTAGTGCCCATTTTTATAGAAATTATACAGGGGCAGTCCTGGCACCAAATCCACTTTTACCATGAGACCCCACTGCTTACCTCACAACATCAACAAAATAGGGCACATCCTGATCCAGGTTCTTGTGGTCAAGCAGCTCCGTGATCGCCTCCTATGGGCAGAGAGGGGAAATGGTGGCCCCATTTTTGGGGTATAACCCAAAAGGTCCAGCATGTGACAGGCCCTAACCAACACAGGAACCTTCCCTGAGACCATGGACTCTTGAATTAAATTCCCAGGGAAGGCTCTGTCATGCAGCAAGGGAATCCCAGATGTTCTAATCCTGAGAAGTTATAGAGATTTGGTGTCAGTAGGAACATACGATGAGACTTTTAGAGCAAGACACAGCTGGTGAGAGGAAGCCAAAAACCACAGCTTGGATGTCATAGGCCAGCCTGGTGTCACTGTAGCAGAACACAGGCCTTGCACTTGTGCTTAGGCCTGGTCTACACTGAACAGTTCCATCGGCATAGGTTCATCTCTGAGGGGGGTGAAAAGTCCATACCCTGGAAACACAGTTAAGTCGACCGAATCCAGGATGTAGCCAGCACTATGTTGAAAGAAGAATTCTTCACTCACCTATCTGCTGCTTTTTGGGAACCTCTCCCATTACAAGTGTAAATGCCTCCCCTAGAGCACTACAGTGGTGTAGCTGCAGCACGGACGCCATAGTGTTTTAAGTGTAGACATGACCTTAGACACTTTGATGTCTTTCTACAGTTTACAGGATTCTCGTGCTGCCCATCCAGGAAGTCAGGTCAGCTTAACTTTCTTTCAAGGTGTGGATTTTTCACACCCCTGAGGCTATGTCTAGACTGCAAGCTTTTCTGGAAAAGATTTTCTGGAAAAACTTCTTTCAAAAGAGAGCGTCCACACAGCAAAAGCACATCAAAAAAGCAATGTGCTTTTTCAAAAGATAGTGTCCACACTGATTGGACGCTATCTCGCATTTAAGTTGTGATTACTATGGATGGGGTGGCCACTGGGGCACCTGTGCTTTTCCCTGGAGGCCTCTTCTTTCGGGAAAAAAACCCTCTTCCTCATCCACACGCGCCTTTTTCCAAAAGAGCTCTTTTGGAAAAAGGTTTCTTCCTCGTTGAAAGAGGTTTACCGCTATCAGAAAAACCCCTGAGTTCTTTTGACTTTCTGTCGAAAGAATGCAATTGCAGTGTGGACATAAGTGTAGTTTTTCCGGAAAAACAGCTGTTTTTCTGGAAAAACTCTGCAGTGTAGATATACACTGAGAGATATACGCCAATGTACATTTTCAGTGTAGACTGGCCCTTAGGCTTGGTCTATGCTACAGGTGCTACACTGACCCAGCTACCATGCTACAGTTGTAGCAAAGAAACTTCCTGCAGCAAGAGAAAGGGTTTTCCTGTCACTGAACTTTCATCCACCTCTCTGAAAAGTCTTTCATCAACCTGGTGGCTTCTGCGCTCGGGGTTAGGTTGGCTTTAACTATGCTGTTCGGAGGTGTGAATTTTGCAGACATAAATTTTAACTCCAGGACTAGCCTATGATCAAAGGTCTTTGTATCTCACTTATTCTGACACCTGGCACATTATTTTTGCTGATCACACAGAAAAAGTCCTATCCTCTCACTGGAATTGGCCTGCTCTAACCAGGTGGTAGCCATGTTGCACGGGAGGAGTAAAAAAACCCAATATCCACAGGGGCTGGGAAATCTCATAACAGGATTGTATTGATTCAGTGCTCTACATTTCCCCTTCTACACCCTGACAGCTACTATCCTCCACCTCCCAAAATACTGTTCACCTGCCCCACTTCCAAAGCTGCCTATCATCAAATAGTTGTAATAGAGTCCCATGTCTGAGCACCATAAGTCCTTTGTGGTTACCTGCATGTACTCTTTCAGGTCTCTCAGATTTATAACCATCCCTGTGGCAGGTTCAATCTGCAGGGCAAATCACAGGAAAGGAAATCACACACACAGCTGACATCTCTAGATAAGTGGATGCAATGATTAGCCACTGTGGATAGTGACGGCATCTAAACTGTCCCATTCAAGCACCCGAGCAGGCTGCAGAGCATTTCCTGGGGTTTAATGATCAGCTGGGAAAAGTGGCTGGTCTGGCACAAAGGCCACATGACCCCAAAACTACATGGAATGGGCAGGAATTATGTCAAGGAGGCTTTATCAGTCACTTAGGTGACTGGTGTTCCGCAGTCTGACGGGGCCATTTGTCTTTGTGCTGCTCCACAATGATCTTTTCAGTACGGTCCCCAGGACTCATGTCAGCTTTACCAGTGCAGCCAGATGCCCTGGCCTGACCCAAACCCACGCTTTGCTGCACTTACTTCTCCACACACGGTCACCACCACTGGAAAAACAAAACAAAACCCAAGTCACATTATTGGCCCCACAGGCAAGATCCACACAAATCAACTCTAGCTTTACTGAGGTGGGGTGAATGAAAAGGTGACAGCAAGGAGGGAGGCAACAGAAAACAACTTTAAGCCAGGAATAAAGCCTGATGCTCAAAGTTTTGGGGAAATAAAATTTGGCTGCTGAAAACATTCCAGCTAAAAAGTCACTAGCTAGCTAATCCTGTTGATCAAAGCAGGCTTCTATTCTTGGCTTTCTTGGGGCCTCAGACCGCTGGTCAGAAGGCAATTCAGATGTAATCCAGACTCATTGTCCCTTCTGCCCTACAGCTGAGTTTGAAGCCGGGTGTGTAGTCTGAGTGATGCTGTGGGCTCTTCATCAGTTAACTCAACACCATGTGCATGACACAACTGAGAACATAAAGGCAGACTCCCATTTCACTTTGATCTGCGGAATGAGTGGATCCTGAGCTGAGCTGAGGGAATATGCAGAACGTGCCAACAGGCGGCCTCTCACCTGTATAGTTGTGCCCATGACACTGGTTGCAGATCCCAAAGAGTTTCTTATTTTCTGCATCACTCAGTGATTTGCTGAAAAGAAACAAACACTGAACGTGTGAGGCAATAACCAACAGAGGTAGGAAACCAAGGATTTTCTGCAGCAGATCAAACCAATGGACCATCTGAACCCTTGTCCTGTGTTTGCAGCTGACAGAATGGCCTGCAATGGCCTTTATATCCCCCTCTCTGTATCCTGTACAGGAGACAAAAACTAGCCACAGGCAAAGACCAGCAGTTAAGTGATAACTCTGCGTTACATGGAGCAGGGACTCTGTATGATCAAGAGTCACACAGGGGGATGCTGCTTAGTCTGAAAGATAAGCCCCACAGACAAGGGAAATGTGTTAGTCATTAAAAGTGTCCCTCTGCTGAAACAGACTAACATGGCTACCCCTCTGAAACCAGGTATAACAAACAAACTCAAAACTACCATCACACTAGAGTCTCCTTTCCCCACAATTCATCCCCCTGGTGTTCCTTCCATGCCAGTCTCCAGTTTCTTTTGAAATGTCCTTATGCCATGTCCCTTCCCTGCCAACAGTAGATGCTGTCATCAGCTTAGGTGAGCAGAGGCCATGAGAAATGTAATAAAGAAGCAGATGACGTAGCTAGTTCCTGATAAAGTCACTCCTGCAGAAGGACGTGACAGCAGAGAGGGCAGTGGCCTCATACATCAGTACAGAGGAGTTTCATGCACAAGTGGCATCATAGAAGGTTCGAGGGAGAAGCAGAGAGATGACTAGCAGCAGCACTGCTGCCACAGTGACTAATGCCCGTGGCAGTACCCAAAGGGATCCACTTTAAATCTTCCGAGTGGCTTTTCAGTGCATCTGGTCAGCTGCTCTGAAGGAGACATTAGACGGGGCTCCCAGCAGGGGAGTGGAGTAAGGGAATCTCTGAGCCATGTGCCAGAGGCGTCACACTGCCGGGATTTAAAGGAGCTGTACACAGTCCAGCATCACGGCCTGGGGACGTCAAAGTCAAGAGAAAGCAGTTTTGTCTCCGACTACATTAGCGGCAGTGTAATAGGCTCATGAACATTTTCGATCCTTTAACTAACAAAGGGTGAACACAGAAGCATCCAGCTCCCTCACTAGCAAAGCTGTGTGCCCGGGCCCACCGGGAGGGAGGGCAAAGGGGGCAACTGCGATTCAAAGGGGCCCAGGGCTCCAAACTGCAGCTTGCGGCGATCAGAGTCCTGGGTCCCTTTAACTCACCACTGGAGCCCTGTGCCGCACACTCCTGGAAGCTCAAAGCCTTCTAAGGGTTGGGCAAGGGGAGGTGCTGCACCGTGGACGGCATGGAAGGCTGGCTACCTCTGGCCCCTCCCCATCTACGTGAGGCCCCACCCCTTCCAGGAGTTCCACTCCCGTTGCCCAGGCCCCTCAGGCTGTCAGCTCTCCTGTGTGTGCTGCTCACTGCCCTCTCCCAACAAAATATCTTAGCTAGTGCCGGGTCAAGCCGGCACAACATTCTGCCTCCCAGTTGCCTGGGACTGATCACCAGTCAAGGGCTGAGAACACGGCTCGCTCCAGCAGTTTGCACCAACTGTCTAAGTCATACAATATAGAGAGCTAGTTACCAGGCCAGTCTGTGGGAAGCACTAAACATATCAGTCCTGGAGAAAGCAGCAGTTCTCACAGGGGAGGTTGGCTTCAGAGCTGGAGCTGAGGTCTGCATTACTGAAGTCAGGCAGTCTGCGGGAAAAGGAAAAGCAGCACTGAACAGAAAGGTTTTGGGACCACTTGTTAAATAAATACCAGCAGGCTGTCATGTGGTTGACCCACAGCACAATGTGTTTGTAGGAGCAACAGAGCTAAGGCAGAGAGAGGAACCAATCAATTACATTGCTGGGCCAGCGGCTGGATTGACTGTAATGAAGCATAGTTCCACTTGGGTCTAACCCAGCATTGAGCTGTGGCTTGTGTAAAGGCACTGACAGGACGTTTGCCATGACAGATGGATGCTTTAGGACCATCTGGAGCTTCAGGAAGTCAGCAAATAGAAAGGTCTGGTGCCTGATGTGAACTCAAAGGAGGCTGTGCAGCTATCACTGACGAGACATTCACTGTGTGAACAGCCACCATTCCATTACCATGAGCTGCGTCGAGCACATGGCTTGGAGGAGATCTTTGGGGGCTGGCTTGGAGGCATAACCCTTTTCCCTGACAGCTCAACTCCAGAATGGGTATCATCCCCAAAATGCTGTAATAGCTAACAGGAAAAATGCATTAAATACACTCCTGGCCAAAGTATTTCTCTGCATAAAAGGGGTTTTAATGGAGCACTCTGGGATGAGAACCATAACAAAATCCGTGGTGTGGGAGGAATGAAAATTAAGAACAGTTCACTGTTATGAGTAACCTCCATAACTGAGGGGTTCGTAACGCTGAGGTTCTACTATAGTAGCTTTAGGTATGGGTGAAGCAGGGGGCTGGACTTGATGACCTTCTGAGGTCTCTTCCAGTTCTATGATTCTGTGATTCTGTGAAAGGGTGCACCCTGGCCGACAGCCCTGCTGGAAAACACAAAGGACACCGTCAACCTGAAATCATGCTTTGTTTGAACGTTTTGACTTGGATGTTGTTACAAGTCCCAACCGGGGGCTCCTGTAACTCAAGAGAGATCAGAGGAAAAACATGTTCCCCTCTGTTTTCAGTGTGTTACTGACACTTTGTGCAGGTGCTGTGGTTAGCATCAGTTTCCCCTGTTGTGTGGCTCTTTCACACAGCAGCAAGGGGGAGAGAAACCTTTATAAATAGGACAGCCCTCCCACCCCAGACAATGGCAGGGGGGACATAAGCGCTCCTTTGAATGCTGGTTTGAAGATGTCGGATCTCTGAAGGTCTGGTGTGTGGCAGGAACAACTGCCCGAGTGGCACAGGGAATGGGGGGAGGACAGGGGTCTCAAGGAGGCAGGAAATGGAGTGCGGGGTCCCTGGGGCCAGGACCAGGGTCACTTAGGTGTGCAGGAGAGGGAGGTGAAGGGCATGTCTGACGGGATGGGGCTGGGGCTAGGAAGGAGGCAGGGCAGGAGTGGGTTCCCCCAGGCTGCAGAAGGTAGGGCAAGGGGGGTCACTAAACAAGAGGTGGGGCCAGAGGCCCCCAATTGTAGGGGGCAGAGCTGGGG